GATGGGGTTCCTCTGTGTTGGTCAGACTGGTCTCAAACTCTTGACCTCAGGTGATCCACCTGCCTTGGTCTCCCAAAGTGCTGGGATTACAAGTGTGAGCCCCCGTGCCCAGCCAGATTTTCTTAAAAGGAATTTTTTTTTTTTTTTTTTTGTAAACATGCTGTTATTTCATAACAGGACTCTTTTTCCATTTTTATTAATTTTCCTATCAGTGGACCTAGTTATTTCCAGGTTTTTGCTATAAGTATTTTTACTTGTGTTTCCTTATGAACATATGTGAAGTTTGTAAAATATTAATATTTACCTAGCTGTAAAATTATGAGGTCTTCTTAGAGTATTGGATCCATACACTAATAGGTAATAACAAACTTTCCACAAGGTGATTGTATCAATTTAGCCTTCCAAACAGTATATGAGTTTCTGTTATTCCATATCTTGACCAATAATTGGCATTGTGAGACTTTATATTTTTGCCTAAATGTACCTTGTTGTGGTTTTATTTATTTGTTTGTTTTTGAGACAGGGTCTTATTCTGTCACCCAGGCTGGAGTACAGTGGCACAATCATGTCTCACTCCAGTCTCAACCTCCTGGGCTCAAGTGATCCTCCTGCCTCAGTCCTCAAGTAACTGGGACTTCAGGCATGTGCTTCCATACCCAGCTAAGTTTTGTAATTTTTTGTAGAGATGGAGTTTTGCCATGTTGCCCAGGCTGGCCTCAAATTCCTGGGCTCGAGTGCTCCATCCGCTTCGGCCTCCCAAAGTCTTAGGATTATAGGCATGAGCCACCATGTCTGGCCTTGTTGTGGTTTTAGATTGTATTTGCCATATTACAAATTAGATTGAATATTTATAATATATATTTTTGGCTATTTATATTTCTTCTCCTGTAGAATACTTATTTATGTCTTTTACCCACTTTTCTATTGGTGGCTAATTAACATACAGAATATATGCAGGACCCCTAAAAATTAATGGGGATTCTGTATACTGTATGTTAATTATGTCTTGGTTATTATGAATGATGTATGGTTTTGGGAACCTTATCATTGAATCTTTAATGTTTTGTCTTTGGCATTGATTAAAAAACATGCCGTTTCTTCAAAGGAGGCAGACTTTTTTATATCAGACTGGGAAATGTAGAACACATGGTTCAATAAAGAAAAGAAGGGTGCTCAGGCGCAGTGACTCACGCCTGTAATCCTAGCACTTTGAGAGGCTGAGACGGGAAGATTGCTTAAGCTCAGGAATTAAAGATCTGAGATATGGTGAAAACCCATCTCTACAAAAAATACAAAAAATTAGCCGGACATGGTGGTGTGCACCGGAAGTCCCAGCCAGCTACTTAGGGGGGTTGAAGGAGGAGGATGGCTTGAACCCAGGGTATGGAGGCTGCAATAAGCCGAGATCATGCCACTGCACTCCAGCCTGGGTGACCAAGTGAGACCCTGCCTCAAAAAAAAAAAAGAAGAGCGATAATGATGTGATGGCATATTTTCTATGGCCTTCCCAAGAATACCCCATATTCAGCACGTGGGCCTGGCTGCTTGGTCCAAAATGGCTCCATTCAAAGTTTTTAAGCAGTGATGGCTGAGAGAAGTCATTTTCTGTTTCTCAGCTAACATAAAGCTTTTCTCCTTAGGTGGATGACGACTTTACAGCCCAAGATTACAGGCTCCAGTTTCGTAAATGTACTTCAAATCATTTTGAGGATGTATATGTAGGTTCTGAAACTGAATTCATAGTATTGCACATAGACCCCAACGTTGATTATCAGTTCAGAGTCTGTGCCCGAGGAGATGGCCGACAGGAGTGGAGTCCTTGGAGTGTTCCCCAAATAGGTCATTCCACATTGGTGCCTCATGGTATGCTGCTAACCTTTTCTCTCCTGAAGCCTAACTGTATATTAGAATACCTGCATTCTGTGCTAAGGGCAGCACACTGACAACCAGCTATTCTAAGCATAGATCCTGAATTGATAAGAACAACATGCACCTTGTATTTTACTCAGATTACCTCATGTGATTTTTGTTTTCATCAGTTCTTCAGAGACCAAAAAAAAAATGCTGGACTAGATTTTTAGCCTCACTGAAAACCAAAGATTGAAAATATTGTGTAGGACACTGATACTCCTTTCTATTCGTCTTCTTTTTTTTATATTTTACTTTTATTTAGTTAGTTTTTTTTGAGACAAGGTCTCACCTCTGTCGCCCAGGCTGGCGTGTGGTGGTGCAGTCATGCAGCCTGACCTCTGGATCCTTCTGCCTCAGCCTCCCAAGTAGCCAGGACCACCTGCATGCACCACCATACCTGGCTAATTTTTTTTTTTTTTTTTTTGTAGAGACCAGGTCTTGCTATGTTGCCCAGGCTGGTCTCAAATTCCTGGACTCAAGCAGTCCTCTTGCCGTGGCCTCCCAAAGTCCTGGGATTATAGGCGTGAGCCACTGTGCCCAGCTGATGCTGATTTTCCAAACCCTCAAGAAATACCTGGAGAGAGACATTTTCTTAAAAGTCTGATTTCAGGGCCAGACGTGGTGGCTCATGCCTGTAATCCCAGCACTTTGGGAGGCCAAGGCAGGCGGATCACAAGATCAGGAGATCGAGCCCATCCTGGCTAACACGGTGAAACCCCGTCTCTACTAAAAATACAAAAAGTTAGACAGGCATGGTGGCGGGCGCCTGTAATCCCAGCTACTGGGGAGGCTGAAGCAGGAGAATGACTGAACTCGGGAGATGGAGCTTGCAGTGAGCCGAGATCGCGCCACTGCACTCCAGCCTGGGTGACAGAGCGAGACTCAAAAAAAAGTCTTATGATTTGAAATTGATCTCTCTCCTGCATTCTTGTTTAGAAGATGTAGACTCATTTATTAATTAGATTTTTATCAGGTTGGAATAAGTTCAAGCAATTATGCTTGAACTATGATTTTATTAGATAAGAGATAACACTTATTTGATTTATTATGTCAAAATTATGCAGGCATATACTAAAATCTTTTTTGTAATTTGTGGGACTGATCATGATACCCTGTTAATGGAATCTTTTATTTTATTGAACTTGACCATGGCCCCTAAGAGTAGTCTCCCATTTCCACGTTTTATTTAACATGTCTGTATTGAAGATATCCCTCAAGAGATTCTAACAGTTTTCAATATCTTTGCTTTTAAAAAGAGTGGACAGCTGGTTTTGAGGGGTACAGTCTGAGCAGTCGAAGAAATATAGCACTCCGGAATGATTCTGAATCATCAGGTGTTCTCTACTCCAGAGCTCCGACTTATTTCTGTGGACAGACATTAACATTCAGGCAAGTAGATATTAAAACATCTTACCTGCCTCAGGAAGCAGAGTGAAGTGCTCAGAGCATACATGAGCTTTGAATTCAGAACATCCTGAATTTATTCCATCATTTATAGGCAGTGTTACTGTGGGAAGGCTTCTTTATATCCTGCAGCTGTAGTTTTGTCATCTGTATTCATAGGGTTATTACATAGATTAACTGGGAAATGTATATAAAATGCTTGATATTTAATATGTTTATATCTGTCTTCTTCTTGGTAAGTAGAGGTAAGTAGAATATCTCTCAAAAGTCAATCTTAGGGTGGGCACGGTGGCTCACACCTGTAATCCCAGCATTTTGGGAGACCGAGGCGGGTGGATTACCTGAGGCTGAGAGTTCGAGACCAGCCTGATCAACATGGAGAAACCCCGTCTCTACTAAAAATACAAAATTAGCCGGGCATGGTGGCACATATGCCTGTAATCCCAGCTACTCGGGAGGCTGAGGCAGGTGAATCACTTGAACCCAGGAGGCTGAGGTTGCAGTGAGCTGAGATCATGCCATTGCACTCCAGCCTGGGCAACAAGAATGAAACTCTGTCTCAAACACACGCACTCACACACACAATTAAAAAGTCAATCTTAAAAATTTAGAGGCCAAGAGGCCGGATGCAGTGGCTCACGCTTGTAATCCCAACACTTTGGGAAGCCAAGGCGGACGGATCACTTGTGGTCAGGAGTTCGAGGCCGGCCTGACCAACATGGTGAATCCCCGTCTCTACTAAAAATACAAAAATTAGCTGTGTGTGGTAGCGCACGCCTGTAATCCCAGCAACTAGGGAGGGTGAGGCAGGAGACTCACTTGAACCCGGGAGGCAAAAGTTGCCGTGAGCCACTGTACTTCAGCCTGGCAACAGGGTGAAAAAAAAAAAAAAAATTAGCCAGGTGTGGTGGCAGACACCTATAATACCAACTACTCAGGAGGCTGAGGCATGAGAATTGCTTGAACCTGGGAGGCAGAAGTTACAGTGAGCTGAGATCGTGCCACTGTACTCCAGCCTGGGTGACAGTGAGACTCCATCTCAAAAAAAAAAAAAAAAAAGCACGGGCCGGGCACGGTGGCTCATGCCTGTAATCCCAGCACTTTGGGAGGGCGAGGCAGGCAGATCACAAGGTCAGGAGATCGAGATCATCCTGGCCAACATAGTGAAACCCTGTCTCTACTAAAAATACTAAAAATTAACTGGGTGTGGTGGCGGGCGCCTGTAGTCCCAGCTACTTGGGAGGCTGAGGCAGGAGAGTCACTTGAAGTCGGGACGCGGAGGTTGCAGTGAGCAGAGATTGTGGCACTGCTCTCCAGCCTGGGTGACAGTGCGAGATTCCCTCTCAAAGAAAAAAGCAAAAAATTTACCAGCCAAGAATTTATTTTGTCCTTTGTGAGTCATTAACAGCAAGTCTTTGTAAGAGAGAATGCTGTAAACATATTATGTATATGCTGCTCTGTAAAGTAAAACTGAAAGCAAGCCTCCCTTACCACTGATTAATGTTGTTTCTCTACCCATTTCTTTCTGTAATGGGAAAGTTTCTTTTTTCTTATTTTCATGTTATCTGAAATGTATTCTTTATAGTCACGTTTCTAAATAGCTCTTTGTGGAAACCATAGACCAGTTTTGACTTAGAGAAGTAAAGTTTGCCTGATTTTCACCATACTCACCTTAGTGTAACAAGTTCTTCTCTAAGTTTTAAGTCTTGAGATGGGATTTTATTGTGAATGCTTGACCCAAGTTCCTCTTGTTCTCAGGGCCTTATTATTTAAGGCATGGAGAATATCTGAATATTTTATTTAAGCCAATGTTGCTGTATTCCTCTCCAGCTAAGTAATTTGAATTGTCAGCAGTTGTCAGAATATACTAGTTTATGTTTTGTCTAATTTTTGACACCTCTTCTCACCCCTTAATGAAGAATGACTCAGTAACCAGAAAAATACCAACAGAGAGAGAGAGGAAAAAAAAAAGACAAATACCTAAAATGTATTTAATTATTCCCCAGGTAATCATGAGTTTTCTGTACCCCTTCTCTGCTTATGTCCCTTGTTTACAGAAGCACTTCCGTTAGTGACTCTCCTGAGAACAAGGTATTTCTGTGCAATGACAGAGCTTCCTACCTTGATAAATTCAGGCCAGATATCTCAGACTGCAATAATGATGATGATGATGATAATTGCAGTTAATGGCCAGGCGCGGTGGCTCACGCCTGTAATCCCAGCACTTTGGGAGGCTGAGGCGGGCAGATCACAAGGTCAGGAGATCGAGACCATCCTGGCTAACACGGTGAAACCCCTTCTCTACTAAAAATACAAAAATAAATTAGCCGGGCATGGTGGCAGGCACCTGTAGTCCCAGCTACTCGGGAGGCTGAGGCAGGAGAATGGCGTGAACCTGGGAGGCAGAGCTTGCAGTGAGCCAAGATCGCACCACTGCACTCCAGCCTGGGCGACAGAGCGAAACTCTGTCTTGAAAAAAATAATAATAATAATTGCAGTTAATATTTAAACAATATTTACTGTGTGTCATGTACTGTCTTAAGTATTTTACTTGTATTAACTCATTTGATTTTCATAGTAACCCAGTGAGATAGACGTATTTATTTTAGGGATGAGGAAACTGAGGCACAGAGAAGTTATTTACCCAGTGTCACACAGCTAGTAAATGCCAAAACTAGGGTTTAAATCCAGGCAATTCAACTCCAGACTGGTCTGTATTGCTTCTTTTTCATCTTTTTCATGGGAGAGTTAATATGATTCTAGTTGGTATTGAAGTCTACAATTTCTCCATTACTGTGTCCTTAGCTCTTTAACTTTTACCTCTGATGACCTTTTACCCCTTGATCTGATGCTCTCCTGCTTTTTAAATTCTTTCTCCTTGGACACACGGTAATGTCTGATAGATTGCATAGTTAGGTTTATTTCTTAGGTCATTCAGTAAATATTTATTAAGACATTGGAACTTATACAAATTGATTTAAATTCACCTCTGCTGACCATGCTGTGAAAGACACAGTAGGTCTCAATAAACTGTTAGTGTGTCTGGCCTCTCCTAAAGATGCATCACCAGGCCCCACTTGGCAGGGTGATTAACCAAAATTCAGTTAAACTCAATATGATCGTAGCCAGCCTTTTGCATTTTTGTCATTTTTTTCTTTTGACTGTGGAATGAAATGTTTTCTCCCCTTGTTTAAAGGAATTTCAGGCATCAGCAATGAAGCCAGAGATGTGAATGCGAAGGAAGTCCATGCATAAGGGAGGAGCAAGTGGGTGTACTTGAATCAAGAGAAATAGTATTTAGTTTTTTGAGGGTGCTTAGGGCCTAGTAATTAGAAGGGAGCTTATACTCTTGAAGGCACTACTTTGTTATTTATCCCAGTCGGTCCCTGCTGAAGTTTCTGGAAGGCTTAGAGCTGCTGAAGCCAGAGAAACCTGTGATACTGGCTGGACTGTAACAGTCTCTAGACCCACTCTCATTAGATGCCCAGGTCTGCTAGCAACCCCCTCCTTCCAGATCTCCCTGACTTCCTATGTAAACATTCCTGCTCTTTCCTTCTAAGATTTTCTGATTTTTTTTTAAAGGTTTATTTTCTTTCTTTCTTTCTGTTTTTTTTGAGACAGAATCTCGTTCTGTTGCCCAGGCTGGAATGCAATGGCACGATTTCGGCTCACTGCAACCTCCACCTCTCAGGTTCAAGCGACCCTCTCACCTCAGCCTCCTGAGTAGCTGGGACTACAGGTGCCTGCCACCCGTGTAATTTTTTGTATTTTTATAGAGACGGAGTTTCACCGTGTTACCCAGGATGGTCTCAATCTCCTGACCTCATGATCTGCCCTTCTTGGCCTCCCAAAGTGCTGGGATTACAGGCATGAGCCACTGCGCCGGACCTATTTTCTTTCTCATTCCCCTCCCCAGTTCTCCCCTTCTTTTTAAGACAAGGCCTCGCTGTGTCGCCCAGGTTGAAGTGCAGTGGTGCAATCTCAGCTCACTGCAACCTCCACCTCACAGGTTCAAGCGACCCTCTCACCTCAGCTTCCTGAGCAGCTGGGACTACAGGAGCCACTACCACACCCAGCTAATTTTTGTATTTTTTGTAGATACGGGGTTTCACCATGTTGCTTAGGGTGGTCTCAAACCCCTGAGCTCAAGTGATCTGCTCACCACAGCTTCCCACAGTGCTGGGATTACAGGCGTGAGCCACTGCACCTGGCCCTGATTTTTTTTTTTTGGAAGACAGACTCTCACTCTGACGCCCAGGCTGGAGTGCAGTGGCACAATCTTGACTCACTGCAACTTCCACCTCTCAGGTTCAAGCGATTCTCCTACCTCAGCCTCCCAAGTAGGTGGGATTACAGGCGTGTGCCACCATGCCAGCTAATTTTTTTGTTGTTGTTCGTAGAGATGGGGTTTCACCATATTGGCCAGACTGGTGTTGAACTCCTGACCTCAAGTAATCTGCCCACCTCGGCCTCCCAAAGTACTGGAATTATAGGTATGAGGCACTGCGCCCAGCCGATCTTATTTTTTAACCATATTTTTACTTTCTCTTTACCACTGCTTTTCTCTAAAAAAGAGAGAAAGCTACAAAAATTAGCTGGGTTTGGTGCTCTGCACCTGTAATCCCAGCTATTCAGGAGACCGAGGCAGAAATGGACTGAACCTGAGAGGTAGAGGTTGCAGTGAGCAGAAATCGCGCCACTGCACCTCAGCCTGGGCAACAGAGCAAGACTTCATCTGAAAAAAAAAAGAGAGAGAGAGAAAGCCTGCCGTTACAAGTGGCATGCACCTGTAGTCCCAGCTACTTGGAAGGCTGAGGTGGAAGGATCACTTGAGCCCAGGAGGCAGAGGCTGCAGTGAGCCCAAGATTGTGCCACTGCACTCCAGCCTGGGTGACAGTGACACCCTGTCTCTCAAAAAAGAGGGAAGGTGCTTTAGGTGCTAACAGCCTTCTTTAATCCTAATAGTCTAGGAGGTAGGCTGTTAC